TTGGGCGCAGGGGAAAATGGGGAGACGCGTTCTCGTTCCTGGCGGTGCAGCTCTCGTTTCGCTTTTATTCAGCCTCTGCGCGGGCTCAGGATTTTCAGCTGCTTCGTTTTTTTTCCCGAGACTAAGCGCGTGAGAGGAGCCGCTGTTCTTTTTAAAAGAGATGGGGTAATATTCGGCAGTTCCGCAAAAAACGCGTCAGGCGTTTGCCTTGAAAAGCGCGGGCTCCGTTTAAACAAAAGAAAAAAAAAGGTGACTACGTGCCAGTCTTCTGTTCGTAACCTTCAGCAGGTATCTCGTGTCAGGGCGTAACCGACTTCGGGAGCTTTCAGAGCGCTTCGGGCGCGGTCTGCACCCACGAAGCAACGTAGCGTTGTTCTGCCGTTAATAACAGCGTGAACTGCAGTGGCGTTACGCGGACGTATTTTTTGTTGGCTGACGGTTAACCCCTCTTTTCCCTCAGCTCTGAAGCTATATGAGGGTCTCGCCTTCGTGCGTTTATGCGGTTTAGTAAGCGAGTTTCTACACGGGTAAAATTATAACCCCTCCTGTACAAAAACCCGGTCTTTAATAAAAAGTCATGCCGATTTGGGTTAGGGCAGCGCGCACCCACCCAGACCCTGCAGCTCTCTGAGCACAGCTGCTCCCCATCTGAGAAAAGGTGAGCGCTACCGTGAAATCGCTGAAGTAACAACGAGCCCGCCACCCTCGGTAGCAAGAGGTTAACACCCTGAGGTGTTACTGCGATATCTGAAATTGTCCGCAGAGGCTTTTGCAGTGTTTCAGTATTACACTAATAGTGCGTTCAGCTGAGTGGAGGAAATCCTTGCCAGGCTGAATGCGCAACTTCAGGCTCCAGTCCTAACTTAGACACGTTGCTGGCTTTTGCTTAGCTTGTTAATAACCCATTCCCGAGCTCCTCGCCGCAGCCGCGCTACAGCAGTGCTTCCCCTCGCCGTGCTCATCAATGCCGGCTCCGGGGCCACCACGCAACGGGAACTACAACTCCCGGCAGGCTCCGGGGCTCCCAGCCCAGGTGGCCTGTTCCATTCCCCGAAAGGCCGAG